ATTTGTCGTATCGACAACACCAAAATTTGACTTTTATTTAATGAAATACCTTTGAAAATTACTCATTTTGTAGCTTTCTTCTTAGGTTTTCGCAACTCTTCCAATTCTTTTAATTTCTTTGTGAATTTGTCTTTTTCTTTTTTCGTACAAGTTTCTATTTTTTTTTGTTTTTGTCTGAAATCCTTTCGCGCTTTTTGCCTTATTGCGTTACCACATCCGTGAATTTCTTGTAAACCTCAAAAGTAAGACAAACATATATACATTTTATTTAAAAAATTTTGATTAATGTATAATTATTTTTACCATGTTCCAAGCAATACCACTTTTTACAAAACTGGCAAATAAGTTGAATAAGTTTCGTTGACTTTTTGCACCCCTGATACGAACACGTTGAATTAGATTTTGCAAATTCTTGAACAATTTTGTCAAAGTTATCTTCTTTCTTTACTTCAGATTTATCTTGCAAAACTTCATTTTCGCTGTTTTTTTCTGTGACTTCTATCTTTTTGTAAACTCTCTCCTTCGTGCCTTTTATTTCGAATTTTTCCATCGTCTGTTCTTTTTTACTTTGCTCTTTATTTGGACGTTTTTCAGAGATCTCCAAAAGTGATGATTCTTCCTCGTCTGGCTCATCATTTTCTTTAGAAGTTTCGATTTCCTCTGCATTAAATAAACCTTGTATTACATGTAAATTAAAATTCATCATATTGCTGTTTCTCACCTTGGTCCGAGTGAACTGTGGAAATGGTTTCATAAATATTGTACATTTTTCTATTCATACAAATGTTGGGGTCCGTTTTTTTCTCACTAGTTCTATCGAGAGGTTTTTTCAGTGCTTCAGATGGTTGCGGATTAACTTGTTTTTGTGCTTTCGGCATATCATTTTTGCTTTTGGAATTTTTTTGTTTTTTCACGGATTTGTTTTTTGTCTTTAATTTGGATTTCGATTTTAAGTTTTTTTGCAATGGTTTTTCTATTTCCCTTTCTTTGTCGACAGTTTCTGAAAGGTACTCTTCTGCCGACTGTAGTAAGCCATTTTCTTCTATATGATTTAAAAGACTTTTGATAACATCGTCACTCTCCATTGTTTCACTATCGCCTATGACAATGAGCGACCTTCTTGCTCGCGTAACGGCAACGTTCAACCGCCTGAAATCGGTGACAAAGCCAAGTTCCTTTTCTTGATTACTTCTGACCAGCGAAATGATGATAGCTTCCTTTTCTCTTCCCTGGAAACCATCCACTGTGCTTACTTCGACATTGTAGGAATCTGACGCAAAATTTCTTTTGATAAAGTCGACCTACAGTAATTTGCACAAAACATTAAGTTGTGAATAAATGTTTTTTTTTTTAATCTAATAACTTTACCTGTAATGCATATGGAGTAATCACACCAATATCTCTGTGTCGCAAACCTGTTTTGATTAGAGCTGTTACAACTTTATGTACGACAATAACTTCTCTAACATTTCCTTTGGATGCAGAATCAACTCCAGACCTAAATTCTTCACAGTCACAACCACATGTGTCGATAAACACTATAGCTTCGCCTACAGTAAAGAATTTATTTTTTAAACTTCATCATTCAAATCAATTTTGTTAGAGGGTTGATGCAAAAAATCAATATTTCTATCAAAATTAATATGCTTACTTGTCAAAGTATCGTCATGTTTGTCTGATAAAGGTAAGTCTTTGAGTAAATGGTTTTTTACTGAATCATCAGCTTCAAGTGTATTATCGTAAAATTTGGCACTAGCCCAAGACATGATTTTTTCATTCATTCTATACTGTCTTGTTAATCTGACAAAACAATTGTCTTTCAATTTTTTTATTGCTCTTTCCATCAGACTTATATTCAAACCACCATCAACGGCTTTTTGGCACAATACTACTGGTGGTAATTGATTTATATCTCCAGCAAGAATGAGTTTTGGAGCATTTGGAATGGCAATCCACATTGATGCTTCCATAGCTTGTGATGCTTCATCAACAATCAATACATCAAAGTGATCCTTTGGAAGACTTTGAATTTGACCATTAGTTGCTGATGCTGAATTTAATGTACATAGTATTACCTGAAATAGTAGGAAAAGTTATTAAATGTAATTTTTAATAGTTGCTTTATTTTAATTTTATTTTTTTATTAATCGAGATCCATACAGTGCTTCTCCTTAGTATATCGCAGGTAAGTCTAGACAAACGTTTTCGATATTCTTTTTTCAAGTCTCTTATTTCTTTGTAAATATATTTTCTTCCACTGCTTTCGACATTTGTCTCTAGATTTTTTATTGACTTTTTAATATCTTTCAGATCCTTAAAACTATCATCTCTCTCTAAATACGAGTCTAAAGAATATTTTAGAGCCGACTTTGCGATTCTAGTAGGATGACCTAGACGCAACGGCTTAGCTTCTGTTCCACCAAGTCTGATGACTAAATTATCTACTGCAACGTTGGTTGGGGCACATATGAGAATCTGTAAATTAGCGTATAAATTAGTGTAAAATCTACATAACTTATCATAAAATATATGTAAATGACATCTTTTTAATACTTTTTTGCCTAATCTGTGCAATTGTACGACTGCCTCTATCAATGTTGTGGTTTTACCAGTTCCTGGTGGTCCTTGAACAATTGCAAAATGTCTCCTTTTTAAAGAAAACTCCACAGCCAGCTTTTGATCTTTAGCAAGACTTCGATTGTGAAATTTAATGTTATCATCATCATCCAAAATTGTTTTGAGAATAGGATCTTCTGCAACCAGTAATTGGTGAATAACATCCTCATCTTTGTGGAATAGAATTTTAATTATCTCCAGACATTGTGAGGAATAAATTTCTTTTTTCTCCAAAGCGTTTAAAGCTCTAAAACCACACAAACATATTTAGAAAAAAAAAAAAAAAAAAAAAAAACAGTCAAATTAAGTTTACACAAGATAAAAAAATCAGCAGCAACCTTGTCTGACTCCTGTAAGTGTAATCAGAGTCGGACTTGACCACGGTAAATTGCTCATCATCCTGAACATCCTCGTACTGGCCATTTGAGCTAATACTCAAAGTAGATTCGCTAATGTCCATGACAATGGCCTTGATCATCTGGCCTTTTTCCTTTGATCTGATACAGATAACCAGATCACCCCTTGATAATCCATGCTCCAAGGGTAGACCATCAGCTTTTTCAAAGTCAATCTGATAACGTTCCGGTCCATTGCAGACACTGTTATTAATGTTCAGTTTGGTAAGAGCTAGACCACTTTTTTCCAAATAATGAAGATTGACTGGGGAAAAATCATTAAAGAACTTCTGAAGATCTTCTTCGCGCTCCAAAAGAAGCAGTTGCAGATGTTTGCGCACGAATTTCGTAATCGTATCATCCATTTTCGTTCTGACAAAACAATAAAACGCTTGAATTTTCTATTACATCGAAGCGGGTTGTGACAACCAACTAAACCCCCAATTCATAAAAAAAATAGATAGTTTAATAGTGTGTATTTACTCGGTATGATGTATCTATATATATACACTTCTTGTCTCAGAATTTACACAAATTTCGGCTGAGTGATTAGAAAATAAAAATAAGTTGTTCGCATGTAGTGTTTATTAGAGAGCTCTCGAAGTGCTGAAGCGTGCAGGTGTTGACATTTTATGGAGTTGTGTTTTCTGCTGTATGATGTAAACAAAACATATATATATGTACATATATATATAGGGTGCGTTCCATTCGGGATAAAAGATAAATTGTGTACTAGCCGCAAATAACACAGACAATCTCAACTTTTTATCTTCTATATATGTGTCTATTATATTAGTTGCGGCTGGTTTGTAATTGACTAAATGGCTCTAGGGCCTAAAATGTCTAAAGCTCTCTTTCAGAATTTTAGGGCCACTTTTTAGTTCAGAAATCTGCAACGCTAGATGGCGCTGATCCAAATAATTATTAACTTAAAGCAGAGCCATGTGATTAATAATAAACCAGCCGCAACTAATCTTATATCTTTTATCTCTTAGATGAAAGATCAAGAGTTGAGATTGTTTGTGTTATTTGCGGCAAGTGTACAATTTATCTTTTACCTGAAAATTGACCTGCAAAAGTATATATATGTGTAAAGTGTATATATATAAACAAATCTCTTTCCCACATAACGACGATGTAACAATTATAAGCTGTATATACTTAAGTAAATGAAATAGAAACCGTCTGCTTTGCAACTTGTTGTGATGTCGCTCTTTCGTGCACTCGTATACACTCTTTACTTATTCTACGTTTTTTATTTATGTATACTTAGATGTCGTGACCGGGCTTCCGTATATTTTGGCGCGAAGTGAACAAGTGGAAGTCAATCGTGAATCTCGTTTCGTTTCTGATTGCCAATTTGTTAAAATATACTTACCAAAGTTTTACGTGAAGGATCAGTCTTCGAAGTTAACGAGTATGAGTACACCGTTAAAAGTGACGAAAAAGCGCGTAGATAATGACAAAGAGTCACCCACCAAGCAGGCAAGTGCAGCAATACATGATAAGTGTATCTCTTCTCAATAATAATGGCTCTCACACGTACCCGTTAGAAATAGTTTTCAATTTATCTTAATTTGTTTTTTTTTTAATTAAAATTTCAGCGTACACCTCTACAATTACCGCAAGAGAAAAAGGTCGGCATTTACTTTGCACAGTCAAAAAATGCTATGAAGTTGGTTGCAAGTTCATCAGATTCATCTGAGCATGACGATGAGGAATCAGAAAACTATGAAATAACCGAGGATGGCTCGCTCAAGAAGAGAAAGCAATTCAAGGATCCTTTGTCTAAAAAGTTGGCCAAGATCAGAAAGACCTTTGATAGTAACATCACTGTTGTTGAAAATGAAGAGGATGAGTTTGCCCTCAAAACTGAGAATCAAAATGTTGTGCCTTCAGAGAATAAAGAATCTCCTGAAAAGGTGCTAAAAGAGATTCCCTCAATAGAAGCTAATGGTGATGTCAAGAGCAATACTGTGTGTGGAACTAATAAAAAGAACGACGAGGAAAAGGTTGACAGTCAGTTGCCAGAATCTATAGAGAGTTTGGATGATTTATTTGATGAGGATTGGTCATTCAACCATAAGGGAAATAAAAAAACTGCCAATGAACTAGATGACTTTTTTGTGAATGATTGGTCATATGAAACTACCATTGACTTAAGTGAGCCAAAGAGGTGTCTTATCATTGATATTGTTTGGGAAAAAATGGATTTCACAATGACTGTCAAGGATCCAAAGACTGAAGCTACTGAAGTTGTCAAATGTTTTGGAATCTGGTGAGTAATAATAATTATCTACTTATTTCTTTAATATTGAAAAAAGTTGTTTGTTTCAGGCGCTACACGAAAATTCAACCTGGAGAATGTGTTATTGTAAAAGCTCAGAAAGAATCTCCTGATGCTAAATACTGGACTGTTGATAACAACTGTGGCTGGATCATAAATCAACCAGATACTTTGATTTCTGGAACTTCAGTTGTTAATGCACTGTGGTGTAATAGACGGAGTTTATTTCAAGAAAAGTTTAGACTAATGGAAAGCTTACCATACTATCAAGGCACTGGTCAATTTATGCTTACAGGAAGCTTGACCCATGAACTTATTCAAACAGTTTTGGAAAAGGAAATATACGAAGTTAAGAAAATAAATGATTTACTAAATGACATTTTAAAATCAAAACATGCCATTCAAATGATGTACAGTGCTGGAGTTTCTATGGCTGATTGCAAAAATCTAATGAGGCCTTCAATTGGTCAAATTTATAAATTCATACAACGCTACATCAAAGGAGTACAACCGGATGCTCCTGACAATAATTTTGATGGTGGAATTGAAAAAATCTGTGATATTGAAGAAAACGTTTGGTTACCGAATTTAGGATTAAAAGGAAAAATAGATTTAACTGTTGAAGTTACGACAAAGTCAAAAAATAATTTGTTTCCAACTGTTGAGCGCAGAGTACTTCCTCTTGAGATAAAAACTGGTAGAGCAAGTTTTTCAAATGAACATCAGGGACAGTTAATCCTTTATACAATGATGATGAATATGACTGAACGTAAAACAAACTCGGGACTACTATTGTATTTGAGGTAATACATTTTATTAAATAATAATCCATGACAATTTTGCAAAGAATACAAACTGAATTTTGTCGAACCTGCAATATTTTTTCCAGAGAAAATACAATGAGAGAAGTAATTGGTAGTTATCATGCACAACGCGATTTAATTACTTTGAGAAACTCAGTAGCCTACTATTCGACACGTGAACCAGTAATAATGAAAACAAAAGACGAAGAAAAGGTTTTGCCTATGGAATTACCAAAACCTATCAATCATCACTCATGTTCCAAATGCACTTACAAATCTTTATGTTGTACATACCTTACTGATGGGGATCGAAAAGAAATGCACGATGGACATCATCTTAAAAATCTTGATGATAACGTAACTAGTCATTTATTACCTGAACACGTTGAATACGTAAAAAAGTGGATAACTTTAATGCAAATTGAAGAAATTACTGAAAACGAGGATGTATTCAAATGGAGTGATCTGTGGACAATGAAGCCCTCTAAAAGGTAATCTAGATTACAAAAACTTTTTAATAAGTGCTTAAAACGAATTTTTTTCACCAGAGAGAAGAGAGGTTCATGTATCAGTGGTTTGAAGATAATTGCTGCTACTCCAAAATATGGAAAATTTCTTCTCGAATTTCAAAGATTAAAAAATAGTGACAATTCAAAAAAAGAAATTAATACGTTAGAGTTTTCAGACGATGAATACGTTATTATAAGCACAAATAGTAGGATAAATATTTGTACTGGATATCTTGATAGCAATACTTCATCTAGTATTTTTGTGCGTTGCGAAAAGTAAGAAAACATTACGATTCCATATGAAACTGTAATATTTGTATCATTTTAATGTATTTAACACTATTTTAGAGATATAACCAAAATTTATAAGGATGAAGAATATCACATAGATAAATCTTTATACAACTCATTTTTAACGCACAATTTGTCACAACTTGGAGGTCTTTTGGATGATCACGAAATTTGTTCCAAATTGCGAAGAATAATAATTGAAAGGTACAAAAATTATTCTGGTTTTTATTAACTTAATCATGATAATTTGTTTATATATTATTCAAGACGTCCAGCGACATTTTCATCTGATTTACCGCAATCAATACTGGAAACTGGCAAAAGCATTTTAAAAAGACTCAATGAAAATCAGAAAAACGCAGTCCTCAAAGCTTTGGCAGCTGATGATTACTTGTTAATAAAAGGCTTTCCAGGAACTGGTAAAACGCAAACTTTGGTCGCTATGATCGAGTTGCTGGTAAAATTAGATATGTCTGTACTGGTTACTGCCCACACAAATACCGCTTTAGATAACATATTAGTGAAATTGCTGGAACTTAATGTAGACTTCATACGTCTTGGATCTACTTCGCGAGCTCATTCAGCTTTAATTGAAAAGTGTGATGATAATTTGACATCAAAATGTGATTCGCCAGAAGCCTTGCACACTCTTTACTGCAGTAAAGTAAGGGTCAATGTGTGCTTGAACATTGTACATTATTCTTTAGTTTTGACTTTAATTTATGTCTACAGAAAGTCGTTGGCGTAACATGCTATGGTTCGACTCATACGCATCTGTCGCGGCGTAAATTTGACGTATGCATCGTTGATGAAAGTACCCAAGTTTTACAGCCAACGATTCTACGACCACTTTACTGTGCAACTAAATTTGTTCTCGTTGGAGATCCAGAACAGTTACCTCCAATATCTAAAAATAACGTAGCAAGGTTCGTTTCTTTATTTGCTTTTACTTTACAAGTATAAAACTCTTTTAAACTCTAAAAGAAAAATAAATTTCAATATTTCAAATAATGAAAAATGTAATTTTCAGGAAAATGGGTATAAACGAATCTTTATTTGCGCGATTAGATGCAAAAAGCAATGTAGTGGCTCTAACTCAGCAGTATCGAATGAATAAATGCATAATGAATATCGCAAATAAATTGACGTATAACGACCAATTGCAAATTGGCAACGAAAAAGTATCAATCTCTACTATACCTGTAACTAATTGTGCTGTAAGTATTTTTGGTAGTGTACATACCTCTTTGAGGTCAGTACACTGTAATATAGCAGTAAAAATAAATTATATTATAAAAGAAGTATAATTAGTACTCTTTGTGATGTAGAAAAATTTTTTTTAATTTTCAAAATAATATTCAGGACTTGGAACTGTGCGAAAGGTGGATAAGAAAAACGCTATCTTTAAGATTAAAAAATTCGGTAATAATGCTAAATACATCAGCCACTTATCATCTCCATCTTGATATAAATCTAGAACAAAAAAAATCAAGAAACTCGAACTACTGGGAAACGGCTATGATTTTACGGTTAACGGAAGTCCTTAAAAATGTGAGATTAGACCCAATCAAATATAAATAAATGTTTCATACATTTATCTAGAGACATTCACAACGATATTATTGCAGTTAGGAGTACATGCTCAAACCATTGGCGTAATTGCACCATATCGAGCTCAAGTGCAATTGTTGCGCTCCATAGTTTCCAGTGATATTGAAGTTAATACTGTTGATCAATATCAAGGCCGTGATAAAGACGTAATTATTTATAGTTGCTCAAAAAGCGTACCAAAAGACACTGATATAGCAGTGAGTGAAACTTAATTAATGATTATCAATATTAATTTATGAGATTTTCCGACACTATTTTTATTTTATTTTTGCAGGAATTTGACATTCTAGAAGATAAGCAGCGTTTAACTGTGGCTGTGACTAGAGCTAAACACAAATTGATAATTGTAGGCGATCTCAATACATTAAATAGGTATACGCCATTCAAAAAATTAATCAAAGCTTTAAAATTCCATGACCAAATTTATGATTTAAAAGATGGAGAAGATGATTTCAGTTTTGAAGATCTCATTAGGGTAATAGTCTAGATTTTTCTTAAAGATACAACTAATAAACTGCAAAGTACAAATTTTTTATTTCCATGACTATAGTAAGTTTATAAGTGAAAAATAATGAATTTAATGTACATAGTATTACCTGAAATAGTAGGAAAAGTTATTAAATGTAATTTTTAATAGTTGCTTTATTTTAATTTTATTTTTTTATTAATCGAGATCCATACAGTGCTTCTCCTTAGTATATCGCAGGTAAGTCTAGACAAACGTTTTCGATATTCTTTTTTCAAGTCTCTTATTTCTTTGTAAATATATTTTCTNCTGAAAAAGTCTTTCAGTAATTTATTTCACACAAAATAAAGCGTCAAGCTGGGTACTACTCTGAGCTGAATGCATTAAAAATTGCAATAAACTCTCTTTTCATTAACAAAGTTACCTTGCTACTTAACCTTTAGTTGCAAATAACAATTTACAATTTGTAATAGGCTACCTACTTAATATATCAGGAGTGCAATTATTTAACATAAAGCATATAAATAAGTTATCAGAGAAACTTGAAAAGTACACACTTTTTAAATAAAAGGTGTATTTCATTATTAATGAAGACATATGTTACACAATAGTTAATTACAACATACGTTATTTCCTAAAAGTTTTTTTTTTTTTTTTTTTCTTCATATAAATAGTACAATTTTTATGTATTTATCTTCGGCATCAAAATCAAAATTATACTGTACAAAAATGTCCTCAGCCTGATTCCACTTTTGATACAGAAACACATTCTAGCAAAATCTGGAAAAAAGTGTCAGGCATCTTGGTGTTAATTACAATGAACATGATTAGTCTGCTGTATCTCGCCTTTTTTCAGCATATTTCTTTGTGTACTCTTCTGCATTTTTAAGGAACTTCCTTCTGTCTCTTTGGAATTCCTCTGCCAAATCAGCTCTCAGTGGATGTTCGGGTTCTGGGTCGTTGACTAACGCAATTAGTGCTTGTATCACTGTAAATTATTTTTAATTAAATAACAAACGCACTTTAATTTTCATATGCAACAGCACAACCTTAAATTAAAATATTGTACTTAAGACCATAAAACTTAGCAGATATTAAAATGTAATAACCTTGATCTGTTCTAGTGGTTGGTTTCCAGTTTTCAGCACTGATCATTGGCAAACACACTTGTCCCTTTTCATCAATATTTGGATGATATATCTTGGTTTTAAAATTTATTCTTGGTGGTTTGAAAGGATACTCAGCTGGGAAATTGATTTCAATTCGGAAAGCACCTTTGTTATAAGGTGGATTGTCCTGGTTGGAGCAAAAATAAAAGAAACAAAAATTCAATCAAGTCAGAGATACATGGAGAAAAAAATAGTGAATCGCCGTGTGAGGACAAGGATGTCGACTTACCGGCTGTATAAGGCCCTGCCAAGTGAGGATATTTGACTCATCGACCTGTATATTTGTAAAGTACTTCATCGACGAAGCTCGCAAATCGCCCAACTCCTGGGGAAAAAAAAAATTAAGTACAAATGATAATCCCACGCACTGGCTCTACCCTGAATCTTTATTCCTCTCAGGTTAAGTATAACCATCTCACTTCGTCACTTATTTAAAAATTAAAGTTTTCTTGAGAAAATCAGAGCAGAACAAGCGCAAAGGTAAATTTCCAGGGAATTAATAGTCGAAGCTGCACACTCAGTGAATTTCGGAACATCTTACCTTTTGCAGCCTTCTCGTAGCTGCCATTTTTATATACACACTGTTAAAATTTCAGAGAAAGCTCGACGTTGAGTTATACCTATGTCTTATGATATAGAAACGTATATTTTTATCGTAACTTATAGAGAAGTGTTGCACAGCTACACATCTGATGGGACGGACAAGTAGGTATAGATTATGGACACACACTGGTGTAGAGGAGCCGCCAACTGCGGGTTACAATTTACAATTGTCGCGGAGACGACGATGACGAGGAGAGCCGAAAGGGCAAGGACCCAAAATCTCGACGACCGACGATGATACCATACGGTGTAATATACGTGTTGCACGTGTCCGGCGAAGAGCCGCTTAGGTGTAGCTTGGAAACTCCAGCCAATACTTATAAAAGTTCTACAAACTACATTTAGAAAGTTAGAAGTTATCACCAAATGTATGCTATTACAGTATGGGTTAGGTGCTTTTATAGGGGTTTTATATTAAATGAAGCTGAGAGTTATATTAAGTACTTATAGTGTGCTACTTACTTACCTATATGAAACCTATACGTATAAAATTTTTTGGATACTTGAGTTATACACCGTGGGATGCCTTTTGTTGTATTAGTAAATCAGTATTTGATCTTAAACTGTGTGGAAAAGTGAAACTGGACAAAAGGACTAAAGGACACGACGGATTTATTCACATCCAACGAAAAAGTTGGTGAGTTTTCATCTGAGAGTTGTGCATGATAATGTTAATTCTTGACGTTAAATTCTTTCTTGTTGAGTGACAGTAGTCTCACTTTGTCATGAACATTTTTATCAATTAAGGTGTCAAACCACAAATAGATATAAAACCCTAAAGGTTCCCATTAATGTTCGTTAACAAAATCACCCAACTGAACATTTTATGGAGCTGCAGTGAAATTTGGAAATTTTCAGAAGCACAGTAACCATTTTAATAATATTGATAATATTGTTATTAATACAAAAGAAACTACGTTTTGGCTCCAAGTTTTATGGTTTTATTTTTTATTAATTATTTTACGAATAAAAATTCAAGAAAAGTGATAAACACACCGTTTGGCTTTTTTTTTTTTTTTCAAAATTATGATTCGTTTTCATTCTGTTACCATGCAAGGAAAAATATATATTAAAACGGTTTTACATTAAATTAATAAAAATACCGTAACTATGGTACAAATATTTATTTAAAAATTGTTAATATGTATTTACTCTTTGGATTAGCGTTTTCAAAGTTGCGGTTTTTTACAAGTAAATGTTTTTCATATTCTGTCGAAAACAGTCGACAATCTAGTTTTGTAGGTGTACAACCAATGAACGTTAAATGTGCGTTACAGAAAGACAGCACAGCAGCGCCTCAAGGCCTCAACAAACCGCCTCTGCATTATCTGCAAGCTATCGCGGGCTGCGGATGTGTTTTCTACGTCGTGAGTCTGACTAATAAGTAAATAAGCACAATACATTTTGTCTCTCGTATATTTTGTCGTTTTAGTGACGATTTTAAGCATAGCTTGTGTTATTTGTATCCTCAAAGTACTTACATTACTTTTTATATTTGTGGCTTGATAGTGTATATCTTTTTAAAGTGTTTTTTTTTATCTCTTGCTTTGTCAGCAACGTTCTGACTAAACAAGAGGTTAGACTCGTACTCTGCCAACGTACACTCAATCGCCATTTTGTCGAACTGGTGCTCTCTAAATCATCCCGCTGTGGTCAAGCTCACAAATAACGTCTGAAATAGAAATCAAGGTATTTTTCCGCAAATTAAAAAATTTCTTTTATTTCTACGGCTTTCAATGTTGAAAGATTCGTTATATTTGATGAAATTAGTAACGTAAATTTAATTTTTTTTGCTTATCAAACTGCTGGCATTCTATTGTTTTTCCTAACCTACAAGATTACACCTCAATTTACGCAAGTTTGCCATAAAATTATTGAATAGAGGTGACAATAATTTATAGATAAAAAAATTCAAACATTTTTTCATTTGAGTTCAATAGTTTCAATATTTACATCATGACAACACATTACACAATTTTATAGTGATATGAAAATTTTTCTAAGGAGGTTATCGACACGTACGTAACCTCAGAAACCAGGTTCGTTCAAACCCCTTTTGGTTCGGTCCAATTTTCTTAACAAAATATACCTATATACAGCGAACCAAACAGAACTGGTTCTGTATATATAGGTATATATTGATAAGAGAACCGGACCGAATCGTAAGGGGTTTGAACAAATCTTATATTACCGTTTGTAACGTATGTATGTGTAATTTTTGTCACTTGACAATTAATACTAGTTGCATTATTAAAATTTATTGTTTATTCGTTACCTCCTACAAGAAATAATGCTAAAGAAATATACGAAAACGTGTATCAAGTTACATTATATCGTCATTTTGCGTCACCTTAGATGGACTCTCCCATTTATCGTCTTATCTCCTGATTAAACGGTGTGTTAGTAAGGGTTCTGCTGGACTCCGCTAAAACAATAAAAATTCCTCGTATGTCATTAGAATAAGTCATACAGTAAGGAAACATTGTTTTTTGTTTTCTTACTTTTTCAAGTGATTATTGTAACAAGTTTATACATAATTTTATTTTGAAAAAAAAAACTATTTCGATAACAATCCTAATTATAAATTATACCTTACAAGATTTTTTTTCTATGAATATAAACACAGGATCATCTATTTAAAAAAACGTCAGTCGTAGAAGTTATGTTTGGTTTTGGTTCACCCATGTACTATTTTTCCAAAACCAACAGTCGAGCTTTCTTCTATGATTGATTATAAGTCTATTTTTGAAATTTCAAGTTTTATTGAATAATACAGGAACAAACATCGGCGTAGAATAATCAAAACATAACAAATTTTGTGGTACCATACCTTGGAAAAAATAAAACAAGTTAAAGAGCCAAGCTTTGTAATGGTTTCGCAAAAATGTAAACCATTTAGTATTTAGACATATAGGAGTTTAGTGAGATAAGTACAGCAACTGATTAGTTTCGGTTATTTTTCCTCTTAATATGCTACCGTCACTGAATCACTGATTGCAATAATGACTAAATATTAGCCCAATTTGAAGACTAATGTTTAATATTTACAGTAACTTGACGTAAGTGTGATTACTTATGACTGTCAAACTTATGATCAGTCTCAAATTTTCTACAGTCAAAAAGAAGTAAATCATTTATTTGTTTATTTTTTTAACTCAAGAGTGAAAGCTCTTTTCTATTGTTGTAACTCTTAAGTTTATTTATGAAATTCTATTAAATTTTGTTGAACAATAGAGGAAAAACTAGAAAAAAACAGATCTTTTACTTGACATAACCTATTTCTCCCACACCCTCTTAAAGGTAGTGTAGGCAAATTGAAAATGTTGGCAAATTCATCATTGTTTGTAAGCATTGAGCTTCGAATAAATAGCGGATAAGAGGTACGACTCATAAGTGTCAGCCAAAAAGTGTGCTAATAAATTTATGTCAAACAGAACTCTAATTGATTAAGTTATTACTCAACGTATTAATAAGTTAACCTTAAAATTTTTGCATTTATTTGTTGAGAAAAAGCTGAAATGAAACATTTTCAATTAAATAGCATTTCGTTAGCAATAAGTGAGTCGAACGAGCTCTTTTATCAACATGTGCAAACTTAAGCTAGGTCAATTTTTATACCGCATTACTTTATTCAAAATGTCCAGACTATGACGCTTAAAGTTTTATTTTAAATTCCTCATACTTTGTTTTTGCTGAATTATAGAAATTGTATCTATACGCTATGGATGTAAAATTCTGTACTTGAAATCAATCATAAATTTATCAACTTTCACTAAACTCATAAGCATTATCAAAATATTATGTATTTCCGTAATTATTTTATGTACACAAATATAAAAAGTTAATTCATTAAAAAGTTTGCAGTTGGTTATACGTCGTCAAAAATATAACGGTATTCTTAGTGCTAGATGAGGTTCCTTTTTGTAAGCATTCTAGAAACATTAAGTTCGTATTGAGGGGGTGTAATATTAACTTATTTGCCTCAAATTTATCGTTAAAACGACATTAATTGTAAAATCGTTTCAGGGTTCCCAAAATCTAACACAAACACGATATTTTTTTTTTTAGTTAAATCTAGCTACAAGTAGGGTTTTAGTCCAGAGAGGCATCGCAGAGCTTTAATTTGATTCACAATTTTTTTTTTTTTTTTAATAGCGTGTTATATTTTTTTGAGGAGTTTTAACCTATAAACATGGCGTACCTTTTCATCAAGTGCGTCAAAATTAGTAAATTCTGTCCCTTATCTAGGTAAATGGCTCGGGGTGGAGTTGAACAAAGAAACCATGTCAATTACACTAGTAAAAGCAACAGGTTATGTGTATTACGTACGTATGAACTTGACCAACATAATGTCCATCCCAAATCTTGTTTTGACTGTACTGTTTGCACTATCTGGACTATGCAATTTAAAAATATAATCCCGAATAAACATGTCAGTTAAGTGCACATATTATTCGGATGTATCAATAAAAATTATGCTTACAATCCAGTTTTCAAAACTTGTAGTGGCTAATAATATACTCAGTATTGTTTAACTTACGTAAATCATAAAATTTGGAAAGTATATAGTTATTATCTATTTTGTGTAAGACATGCCCTAAAAAATTGTTTCTTGCACCATGTATGAATTAAATAGCAGTCAACAATCGAGAAACAGCCAACACAAAAATTGAAGTATCGAAATAATTAGTAATAGTAACCCAGCTACAAAAAATCACTGTCAAGCTACTAAAAATATACTGAATTTTGTCTTTAATAAACATAATATACATTTTATTATTTACACATTTTTACATAATTATTGACAAAAATAATTTTTTTTGTGGTAATGATTACTTTCATCAATTTCTATAATTTTACGTATTTTTCATGCTAACATCATAATAATTTAAAATTAATGTTACTGTACAATTACATGTTATTTTCATATAGCCAATTTACATTAAGAATCAATTATTTTCTACCAAGAAGAAATATTTAAAAAATATTGAATATAATTCCTGCGGTATTTCAGCTAGATTGTTGTAAAAAATTGTATTCGCAAAAAATATAGTTAAAGTTTATCACTGGGAAATTTTGTAGGTGGATTCATAAAATAAAGCCCCTTCTGTTTAGTATCCTGCGAGTTATACTTACTACACTCGTAGAAAGTTTGAACTCGCAGTTACGTTATATCTCTACTTACTTCAATCACACAAGACTAGTTACTGTTGAAATAAAAGTGAAATGAAAAAGGTATCAAATAAAATACTAAGTATTTTGTATGTTTGGTATAATACAAGCTGAAAAAAAGGCACACTTATGTTGTTAAGACTTCATATTTTTAATCATTAATATTTGCAAAGGTCGAGGTGATCAAATTTTTGTATTATATTATCACACATATTTTTAGTAATGCTAAAAATAATTAATAATTCATAATCTATTTGATATATTCCTGGACTTGGAAAAATATTTTATATTTCACGTAACATCTAAATATATCAATAAACTGTGCAACTAAATTTATGCAGAAGTATAACAACATACGAATTCTTGTTGCTTTAAAATTTTTTATGAATAATTTAAGATAATTTAAATTTTAGTCACAATATTGCGTTTGATTTATCTTGATAAAGTAACGAAACCTTACATTTTAAATATTAATAAAAAAAATCATTAGGAAATTTTTGCAACAATTTTTTCAAAAGTTCATTTCAATGTAGTATGTATTTCAGCAATGATTTTTATGAAAGTATATTTTTACTGTACTCCTCGATATCCGATCAGTGTGGTGGTAGGTGATGTTTAAAAACCATACAAGTTTCACATACTGCTTTAAACTTGTCCAATTCGCATTTGGAGCACCCTTCTCCTTGTAGACATGCGAAAGTACAGGTAGAAAACTAAATAATATATACAAATCTTATAGCTGCTATAGGTTAGCAGTGCTGTTAACTGTTTAAATGGTGCATACTTGATTTGTATTTTAAATCTTCTCAGATTTTTTAAACCAAATTTTTTGACTGATTTTAATGCAAGCTTAATGTAATTAAATCTTCGCTACGTTAAAATATTGTAGTTTTACTGTTTGTACGTTGATGTTTCTACTATTGCGATCCTGTTTACAGACACTACCTTAGTAATTAATTTTTCAATACTGACTCATTAAATTTTTTATGCTAGGTCATAATTCTGGAGGAAAAAAATTTTTTTTCATTTGTTTATGAAGTATGAAGTGGGCTCGTGGGTTTTACTATTACTATTATTACTATCATATTGTTCATTATTTAAAATCGCATTTTTCGCACATCGAAATATGCTCCAAATCGCTTAATGAGGAAAATGTCCACTATTAGATTTTGACCGCTAGTAGTATTGCTTTACTTGAATCAGTATAACGTTTTCACGTATACAAACGTGTAGGTATATATTCATACTCGTGGGACTCCGCCCCCCCCCCTACTTGCCTCGCTTGCCAGCCGCCACCCACGTATAAAAATGAATCATTCATCATTGAAGGCAATAATTTTTTTTATTTGAGTCTATATGTAATGTTGACGTGATTTATAAATTTTCTGAATTACATTTAATTTCTTGAAAACTTTTTTTTTTTTTTTTTTATAACATTTAAAAGTGTAAAATCAATCTATTTGACTCAGCATTGATAGTGTAAAAAATACAGATAAAAACGTGAAAAAAGAAAAGGACGATAATATAACAACTTTGAGAATTGAACACATACATCGCAAAGTCACGTATCTTCAATTGTTTTATACGTTTAATACTTATTAATAAAAAAATATGGTGTAAAGTAACAAATAGAATTATTGGTGTGGGGGGGGGGGCTGTTAATATAAATCAAGTACAATTTGTTTTTAAGTGCTTTAGTTCTGATTTGTATAGTATCTTTCTGTATCCTTAATAATTATATATACATATATATAGAGAGAGAGGTGACTTAAANATGTTTTTTTTTTTTTTTAACAGATAACTATGGATCGAAAATTTTTGTAACATGTACACGCTATGATACAAGCGTGGAAGGTGGTGTCAAAAAAATCAAGATGCTGATGTTGAAAAAATGAGGTACTCAGCTGTTCAAGAAAATAGTTATGGGGTAGGTTTGGGGCAAGAATCTCTCTCCACTTATGTGGATGAAAGTATGATGGCTGCCACTGGGGATGTTGATCTAGGCACAGGCGATACTGTCGAGGAAGGCTCAATGATATCAAATCTTCCTTTATTATTTGCCAATGGATATCCCACATCCTTGGAAAAGATCACACTGGTATGTATTGTATTACTTGTAACACAAGAGCAGTCATGGACTGGCATGAATATACTTTTGAGAAGTAAAAACTGAGTGTGTGTTATAAAAAAAATAATTTTGTTATGTAGCCAGAGCTGGAAAGATTCATAACGTTTATGGTACAGTGTTCTTTGGGGCATGACACAACTGATGTGATAAGTGAACCAAAATGGTGGCCTAAGGAAGTGAAATTTTCTATACCTGTTGTGAGACCCAAAAAAATTTATGATGTAAGTATCTTTTTACTTATTTTTCTACACATTCAATTATATCTTGTGAATATTTTGTAGTAAAGAACTATAGAATAATTTCAAAACATCCTAGTATTACTAAGAAATTCATATACAAATTTAATACATTTCATTGTACACAACATTTGTATCGATTCATTGTTAACTGGGCTCACCCTACTTATACTTTAGAATAAGTAAACACAGTATCTTAATTTTTGTTCTAAATATAGAAAGATTCTCAATATATATTAGTATGATATCTTTAAAATGTATGTTTCTGTCATTTATATATATATATCTTTTCAAAATATACATCATTCAAATTTTATTAAAGCATAAAACTAGTAAATAGTTTCACTGAAGTTTCTTTGCCAAGTAACTGAATTTGTCACCTAAGGGGGGGGGGGCTGTTAATATAAATCAAGTACAATTTGTTTTTAAGTGCTTTAGTTCTGATTTGTATAGTATCTTTCTGTATCCTTAATAATTATATATACATATATATAGAGAGAGAGGTGACTTAAAAAGCATTGCATAGCATGCGGGGGGATAGTGGGAGGCTGACAGAAAAACTGTGGGGGGCGGTGGGGATTATGAAGTGCCAAAGAATAAACAACGATTTTTTATTTTATTGAGAAAATTGCAAGGAAATATAGAAAGTTGTTAGTAGGTATGGTGATTTGTAAAAAAAACATGCTATAACCTCTAGAATGTACATGAAATATACTTTGTGCTTATACTTGAAGTATACTTGTGCTTATGCAAAAAATGTATCGAATTATTTTACGTATTACTGTAATTATGATTGAAGTAGTAAGGTTATTATAACCTACAATATATTAGTTATTGGCAAAAGTAAATCTACGTTGATAAGTTTGTTTTCTACATTTCAATGGCCGATCCTAATTTTGAAGTTGTAAATTTTTACGTTTATAACATTAAGTATTGTTAAACTGATTACTGTGATTAGAGCAGAACACTTATGAACTGTGTAACTTGAAGGTTAGGGTTCTCTAAGACTCTTGAAATTATTGGTCGATTGTTTGAAGTTCCATTTGTTAAATAAAAAGAGAACTTACGATATGACAACACGTTGGTTGTCAAAAAGTTAGATCTCAACAGTTGTATTAAACATATTTTGTCAATATATGAGTGTATCATAAGTAACGTACAACTACGTCAAAATGGCGTCCATTGCATAAAAATGAGTGAAGGTTAGGTGTGGTGAGTCTGTTGGAACTCCTCCATGTTTACTTCATTATTGTTCCCGGAGTAAGTGCGCGTGCGTGGACGTGTGGGGTATTTGTATATAGTGTACTTATGACCTCGCACAAATATAGTTTCACAAGCTCCCAGTTCAGTCGCTTGGCGTTGCTCACCGCTGTAGTTTCAGCTGGTAGGGAAAGGAAACTTTGAGTAGCTCTATACAGTATAGAGAATATACAGCGAGAATAACTTTTGTTTCCCCTCCGCCACATCGACAGTGGCAAAAGTAGTATAGAGCTGTAGTCAAGCGACGCAGAACAGCTGCAGTTCCACCGTTCCCGGCGCGAGTACAGACCTAAGAGGCTTAATTCCCGTTTAGAAATTCTTCGGGATCGTGGAGAGCATTTTTGTCTTGCGCGCGGTTCTTTATCGTTCTCATGTGGACGATAGTGCGCGCGCGCGCGTGTGTGTATTTGCGCGCAAGTGTATGAGTACAAGAGAAATAGGAAAGGAACACAAAGTTGTAAAAAGTCGTTAAGACTACTGCGTCCCCAGCTGAAAACTCATAGAAAGGGAGTTACAATCACACTAGAGGTATTACTCTAGCATTTCTTTTGTAATTCCTATAGATAGTCCTTGGCTCTTTCTTTTTCTTGAAATATAATTGTGAGAATTCCGCCATCTTTGGCTACGTAGTGGCGTGAACTACGTGCTCAGTTGAAGGCGACTGTACTAGCGTAATCGGGGAACGACTGTCAGTTCCTCGGTTCGTGACTTTTCCAACTTGGAGCGTAACGAGGGACGCTCGAATGTAACCTTGTTCCACTTTTCCATCTACAGCTTCCTCGAGGATTTTTTTTTTTTAACTTGGAACTGAATGTTTTTCTTTTAAATAATTGACTCAGCGTTGTAGTGTTATGTTTCACCAACTGGTATGTAGGTAGGAGTTTTCATGTGTCGTATGCTGAGCCAGCGTTGATCTACTGTTAGCATTAAGGGAGTTGGGTTGCTACCGTGGGGAGGTAAAGAGGAGCACGTGTATGTTTATAAAGCACCGTGCTAAAGTCTGCTGTACTAACCTAGCCTAAAAAAAATCCACCCTTTCGATTACGGAAAATGCATTTGTGTTCGACTCACCAGTACTCGTTAACGTTTAAATAAAATACTTCAAAAAAATTACAGAATATTCTTCAAGGTATCTCGTTTCTTATGGTATTAATCAAATAGCCTAAATACTTTCTCTATGAGAGATAAAAAATAAGGAGTAAACGGTATAGTCAATCTGATCTTCTTTTAATAAAAGTGTGCTATAAATTTTCGAAATTAGAGGTTTTAATGGTATATCATTAAANAATTTTTTATGTGTGCGTATTTTCCCAAAATATCGAATTTTATATTAATGTATTAATTATTAAATAGTCGACCTTTTTTACTATTATCATCGTGTAATACCTTGGAGTGAAGTTATCAGATTCACCCCCTACAATTTTACATAATAGAATTTTTCTAAATTAATATGCCTAGTGAAAAGTTGAAAATTATATTCAGTTTTTTTTTAAATCAGTAAAAAATTGGTTAAGCTAATTTCTGCAGTTAAAGTAAAGTTTAAAAAATGGACATCATTGGAAAAAATACTAGTCATATTAATAAATGTCCAGAAAAAATGTATTCTTAGAATTTTTTTAAAACCCATCCACTAGAAATATGGAAGCTGAAACTACTTAGTCGATTTAGATGACAGGTTATGCATTGAGGTTCATTATATCATTGAAGTATAGGAGCTAGCCAAAATGTATTACGTTCGTAAAGAAAAAATAACATAACCTCGCATCAATTGGATTAGTTAATGCATGGGATAACTTAATTTTAATTAAGAGGAAACATGATGCGTTAATTATGGAAAAGTAGTTTAAAAATTCCTGGTAGTATTTTTGGTCTTAAAAATTACTACTTCATAATTAACGAATATAATAGCCAAGGAAATTAAAGAATGAGATAAAAACCTGACGCCAAGTATTTAATCGATAAAGAACCTATTTACACATATGTCAATATTTAAAATTTAATAACATATCTTACATAAAAGAAAATAAAATAATATCATTAAGTATACTAATTCTCATAGTTCTCACGCTTAGCATCATTATTAGTCAGTAAATTACTGTTTTTTTCATCTGTCAACACAAACAAGTCCTCAGTTTCCCTGTAATATCTTATTTAAAAAAAAAATTCATGTATAACTGCTTTTTATTAACATAACCTCTTAAGTAATTGCAATCGCGGACCTTCACAATAAAACCTAGTTTACTAAAAAAATACTAATATTCATAACTGAAAAGTCCAATTTAGTTATTAAATTCAAAATTTATTTAAGTGAAACCCAACATCACAAACTCTTAATTGAAATATTTTTATATTGTATTTTTCCTACCTGTATACCACTCAAATAAGTAGAGTGGTTTGACCCTAACTTCGACCAATAACCCCTCACCCATTACCCAAGTAATTAACCCATAACCTCTTTTTTTTTTTAACAAATAATACTTATTTTGATTTAACCTCAAAGTACTAATTATATTTTTTATGTCTCAAACCTGATATACTTGAATTTTCTTGCTATGAACTAACTATGTGATTAGCCTTAACAAATAAAATCTTGATTAAATAGGCTTCGTCGCGTGATCCATCAATCTTTTGAAATTATATTGATAATATTAAATTGTACTATTATATTATTTATACATGGTCTTATTGATAGCTGCACCTTGCTTTGGATTGTA